GAAATCTGGCTAAAAAATAAAAAAAGAAAGATGTAGCGATTAAAGCCATTTCTATTTCTTTATTCTAAACCATTTAACTTGAAATCAATAATAATAAAATAATGCAAGCTTAAGGTTGCATGAAAGCATTCTTTTGTTGTAAATGTTACATAGTCGTTAATTCTATAGCGTCGTTCATAAGATTAAATCATAGGAATCAGAAAGAAAGAACTCTCTAGGTTCTTCCTTATCCTTCTGTTTAGGTTTCAGTAAGTTAGTACATAATTCAGTAAGTATCTACATAATGACTATGTGCTATGTTTGCCTTTTCAGTTAGTGCTCAAAACTGCAATTTTGAGCACATTATGTATTAATGTATATGATATTCTTCTTTTAACTTGCTTTAATTTTATTTTTTGACATTAAGACGAAAAAAACGTAATATTTGTAGTTATAACAGTATTTTACTCCATGTTGGTTTTATCGCTTGTTACGCTAATTTTTATTCTTAAAACTTTTGCTTGGCTCTCACGTTTATTACAAGTCAATATGCCATTGGCCTCAGTTCCAGCATACTTTAGAATTTTATATAAGCTAGAAGGAATAGCTGAAGACAAAGCAAAGAAACAATGTTTGATGAGAAGCTAGAAATGTATCAGTTAAAATAAGAGTTCAGACATGAGAAGCAGCTAACGTATTTCATGAAAAGCTATGGACGAAAACTAGTAAATTTTCTTAAGGTGTATTTCACATTAAGATTCAGAGTTAGTTGCAGCTCAGATCTGAGAAATTCAGTATCGCAAAGTTTTCGGCATTTGGCCTTGGGGATATTTCATATAGATCAATAACATAAAGAGAGATTTTTCTGAATATTTTTAAATATTTTGAAAATTGCGGAGAGGAATTCTTATGTTGCAGAGCTGAACTTAAAATTTAAACATGTAGGGAAAAAAATATCATTTCTACTTTCATTAGTGAATATGTAATGTTTAACTTAATCAACACATTATTTCATAAGTTCATTTTTCCCATACTGCAACTATTTCATGTACATTATATTACTATGTAAATGAAGTTAGGTTTAACTAACAGCCATAATCTAATTTTAAGGAAGAGGATCAACAACCTCAGGCCGACGCGGTCTATTACTTTCCGCCTTTACCGCTCTTGTTACAAGCTCGTAAGTGTTTCTTTGGTTTATACTTAAGTTGTAAGCGAGAAGTAGAGAAGACTTAAAATTAGACTTGTAATTATTTCAAATTACTGCTGTCTGTATACCCAGCAAGAAACGGAAAATAATTTTTTTAATTGATTTACTTTTGTAACTTCCAACTTCAAGTTCAAATAAATCCTTTAGCAGTTTTACATTGCTATACTTACTTGGCGTCTAGTATTGAAAGATAAAGATGAGAATTGGTTCGATAATCTAAAATATTAGACTAGCGTTTAGAGTAAGCCGTGTTAATTTTAACCATACAAAATAATATAGATTGCTTAGCAACTGAAAGGAAAATTTAAAAAATAAATCCGTTTTCTGTAGTATTAATTATCAGGCTGTCTCAGTTTCCGAAGGAGACATTGGCAAGCTTTAAAAATTGTATAATTTGTTATAATAATATCTCTGTCGTTATCAGAAATGGGAGTACATGAATGTTAAATTATAGAAATTTTAAAAATTAATAATTTCGTAACTCATTTTTTTATTCGTTTTCTCTTGTGCAACTGTAAAAAAAAAAAAAAAACAAACAAACAAAAAAACAAGAATACCCTAATTAAATTAATTAAAATTTTAATTTAAAAGTTGTAGAGTCATTAGGATATTTTTTGGAGGCCGGAGAGATGAAAAATTAACAACTCCTTCGCCGGGAATCGAACCACGGACCTCTGGAATACCGGGCCAGCGTGCAGAACCACTACACCACGAAGGACGCTTGGAAAGCGGGAGAAATACCTTATAAAGTCTCTTGATGTAATTCTGAACGTTTCCAATCAATATCCTGAACTGTAATATAAGCAGGACATAACAATACATGACTGAACCCACGGCACTCCAGTACTTTTCTAATCATCAGGAGATATAATCCTGATGTGCTACCTGTTGAAACCACAGACAGTTATATACGAAATAAGTAAAATCTTCTGGACAATTTAGACACGTCCTATGGCTAATAGGTTGTCAGCTTTTCAAAATGTATGCTTATTGTCCAAATGTCCAAAGGACACCTTCTCTGTTATAGAATCACAGGTCGATAGTTTGTATAAAATCTCCAGAGCATACTGACAGTTTACTAGCCAACTGGGCTAGAAGACCAACACAGATGAAGGACCCTCATGTAATGCATAATTTCAATTAAGGTTCGTGTTTCTTATTTTAAGAGGGAATTTTTGTATTCTCATTGCATTATTCAATACTTACTATGCTACAAGAACTATTGAATCTCACTACTTCATTATAGTATCCTGATTCTTTTTTGTGTTTTTGATCAAACTGTAGCGTGATTATCTTGTTACGTGTTATGATTGGCTTAAAATCCCTTTCCGTTACAAATGCATTTAACAGCGGTATATCTAGCTGAGTTTATCAGCAAGCTTATTTTAAGGCCAGACTTTCTAATCATCCCACGCTGGCTTGAACCGGAACCGAAAGAAAAAGAGATATGCATATGTCTTCCAATTATGTATGCAATAATTGTATGATTCACTTTCGATGTTGAAAAAACGAAATTCACATATTTAAATAATGTTTAAATTTGTTCCAAATATTTATACATATTATCTTCATCGACCTTTTGAATATCATATATAAGAATATAAGTAAATTTATGTTATTATTTAATGCAATCTTTGAAATATAAGAGTATCTCTAATTAAAAGCATAGTGTTTCCTTATCTGAATTCAGCAGGCTTCTAACATATAAGGATTCTTTTAATGTATATACGTGCATTTATTTAATTGGTTGCACTTTAACCAGTTTACTTCCGGCCTTATCCAGCCACCTATGTTGGAAGGAATGCAAAATTACATAATTTGAGATCAGATCATTAATCTGTACAGGACAGCTTATTGGTAACGAACTCAACTTTTCTAATCACGTGAAAAGAAGTAAAAATCTGTGTCATTTTTCGTCATATTGGTCTTGAGGGATGTTCAGTATAAAACCTTATCCAGAAACTAAAAAACTATTAATACTTTTTAGCACTAGCTCATGCTTGCATAGGTAATCTGCTGGAATGTACAATTATGCAGATAATCTGTTGATATTTCATTTGTTCTTTAAATAGAAATTTTCACGAAAGGTTTGTTAAATGTGTTATGCTTAGCATCTGAAGTACATTTAGATTATTTACAAAATTCAGAAAGTTAAATCTAGATTATTAACGAAATAGTGTTGCACGGGAATGAAATAGACTGAAGTTAAGTTTAGATCCATGTATGAATTTTTTTAAAAATGTTTTTCAGAGTAATACGTAAGATTAGTAATATTTACACTAGTACATAAAAAGATATTTGAGCATTTGATATTGCCGCCTAAATATCTAAATAGTAGTGAGGTCCATATTTAGTCTCATTTTTCAAAGAAGTTTCAGATTTGGAAACTGTTTAAAACACTTTTTAAATACCCCATTTTGCTCGAAATAATGTCACTGGAAAGTAATAGGAAAGTATACATAGTAAGTGGTAGTTATAACTTTTTGAATTCTCTCCTAGACTGACTCAACTCATTTTTAGACATAATTACTCAACCACATATTTTCAGAAATAATTTTCTACTCACTTCCATCTACAGCATCTATAATTACTTTATGCTTCTTTCAGTAATTTGAAATATTATCTTAACATAAACGTAAAGAAAAAAAAAATCCTCCGAAACTTTAAAACAAACCTGCATTTAAGAAATATATTAAATAGAAGATCCCTGAGTTTCACACCTAGAAAGAAATAACTAAAAATAAAGAAGTAAAAACATTATATTCGTCCTTTGTTCTGTTCCTTGAGTTTAACCGCTTAAGGATTCTCTTACTTAAATTGAAGATTTAAGAGTTAGTTTCATTGGTGCTGTCCGTGTGAAACGTTAATCTTGCGGTATATAGTAGTAAATAAGTTATCCTCATACAGCAAAAATAATTTTTTAAAAAGAGAAAAAGAAACAGATACGTACAAAAGAAGAAAGAAAAAAATTGGGGTTATAAGAAAAGTGATTGTTTTGTTTCCTTCATTTTTCTTCCATTGCGTTAAAAAGCCAGCATGAGGAAAATATTACTGACCATGCATTTTAATTAATTTACTTTGTTTTATCACCTAAACTTTGGATTTTGACTAGAAATCATGAACTATTATGCATTAAATACATTTTACTGAAATGTCTACCTTTTCTGTATATACTCAATCAAATTACAATAGTTTGTTGCCAATAAAATCATCTCTGTAACTCTAATGGTTTTTATCACTGTATAATTTGCAAGTGGAGTCAGAGTTAAGGACAGCATCCACCAACAATGAGTGTTCAAATACAAAATTATAAAAATGAAGGTATTCAGTGGACCCTTCATTTAAATCTCATTTAAAAAGCGCCTTTAACATAATATTCTTTTTTTTTTTTAATTCTTCAATAAAACTGGTAGACAATTGAATATTCTTCTAAAAGTAAATATCTTCCTTTTATAACCGAAAAATGTTCTTTATGAAGTGCTTCCTTTATGAAGAAAATGCTACATCATTCAAAGTATTGAAACTTGTATTTGTTTTCCCTATTTGGTAGATTCAGTTGTATAAATAAAGATGAAAGCCGAATATGTTATTTTAACTAATTATAAAAATGATTCTTTCATCTGAGATAATGAAATAATTTTTTATTAAAGCATTATCTCGAAAAATTAATGCAGTGAAACTAATATGATATAAGAGAGTTTTTACTAAAAACATCAAATTCCAAGGCATTATGAACAGTCTGTAAATTTTAATTTACTTTCTTATTTGTAAACTAATGTGTAGATGTATATAAAGGTAACAAATATCACGCTTTATTCACAGATCAACTTTTATTTCCTTACTTCACAACACAGAAATATCACATTTAATTCGTGATATAAGTATTTACATTTATATGGATGTTTATACAAAAAATGAAAATTTCAGCTTTTAATGTAACCAACTCAGCTTAAAATATTTTATCATTTGCTGAAAACTCCTTCACAGCTTCTAAAAATGTCTGTTATATGTACTAAACAAGATAATTTTCATTGCACGATATATCAAAGAATATAGCAATTTTTGAAGCACTCGATAACAACAGTAGAAATATTTTTACATAATAATTAAAAATTGAAAGTATAAATCTCATTATAGGATTATGTAAAATAATTTTTATCAAAAAGGCATTCCGTTTACTTCTCACATAAACCATAGATTGCACAATAGACTGCAAGCAGTTCTGAATGATAAGAAAGCTTTTTGAGAAAATATGAAAATTATTTAAAGTCAGGTTCTCTTTGTAGAATACACAGAATTCTAAATGCTTCTTTCCAACATGCCAATATTAAACTATTGTTTGATTTTCTAAATACCCTTATATAGCTATATAACACAAAATTGTACGTTTCAGGTAGTTATTACCCGTTTATGGCCTAAAACATAAATCAAGGAATTAAATTAATTACATTTCTTTGTAATGAAGGTAAAATTTACCAAGTGTACACAAGTTCTCAGTCAAAAAATAAAAGTTAGCCTATAGCCTATATGCAGCACTAAAATGCACAAGAATGCGTAATCATTAGAGAAATATTGAAACCGAAAAAAAAAATTCTAATGTTTTCCATATTATTATCATTCAAAACTGTTGCAGAAAACAAAGTACGATTGCCAGCAGCCCAGAGTGTAAATTTTATACACTTATACATATAAACAAAACAAAGCGTATAGTTATATACACATACATACATAACGTATATATATGTGCGTATAATAATATATACATAAATATGTACAACATATGTTTATGTATATGCACATATAATATGTTATATATGTGTGTGTATATATATATAGCAAAATAATGAGAAATATTTCTTATTTCTCTGGAGTTATAACATTTGTTTAGTCATAATTTTTTGCAGCTAATTACAATTTTTCAGAACTTTCAATTCAATTAAATTTCCTTAATCTATCTGTAATTTTACAAATGCATTTTAACAAATAATTTTTTATCATTCTTATAATTTTAAAAATACTATGGAAAATCTTTACCCATAAAATCAAATTTTCTAATTAATGACGTAATTAAATAATAACACATTTATTCTGCATTGTACGTTAGCTAAAACATTGCTTCAAAATTCCTAATTAAATATATTATGGATATTGAAATTCCACCTTAAAAGCGTATTATTATAATTGCAATGAAACTTTTCACAGCGACCGCTTCCCATAGAGTACCTCTCAGAAAGTGATAAATGCTTCCGAGACCGTAAATTAGCATCAGTAGTGAACATCGCCGATAGACATGATCTCCAAGGCAATCACCTCCCCAGAGGATTAAAATCATCAGAAACCAGATATTCTTAGGGAAGTTTCACTGCATTTGAAAGCTCTCACCAAGAATTTTAACTGTTCTTTTTCACACAAAATTTTCTTATTGCATGTATTTGCAAAGGTATAGAAAGAGTTCCTGTCCCGAAAATAATTTAGTATTCAGTTAGTGATTTAATAATCTATTTTTTAAACAGGGAAGAAAGCTTCTCTTTTCTTACATTCCTTACTTTATACTCTAATTTATAATAGTTTATGATTTATACCTGAACTATGTAAAAAACGAAATAACAAATAACTGTATTTTTGTGCTTTACTTTAAAATGGTGCTTTTCAAACTAAGACGACGATGGAAATAGCCTTATTCCTTTATAATGACAATTTTAAGTTATTAGATTATGACGAATTTACACTGAATTAAGTACTAAAAATGGGCTCTTACTTTATGATAAGCCAGCAGACATGATTTACTTTTGTACCTTGAATTATTACTAATAATTCATACTGTTTAAGAACGGAATATGAAATACCATTTTGCAACTTAAATTTAAAAAATTTCACTTTTTCAGTATTAGCTGCATTACTTCATTAATCTTCTCTTAAACTTCTTCTCACAGCTAAAGAAACTTTAATAATCAATATAATCTTATTAATTATATCATATTTATCAAATGTGTTTTATATTTTATTTATACTTTATCCAAATTTTTATTTTCCTCTACCTAAATGTAGATTAATAAAGACAGTCTTCTTAAGTGTACATTACCTCATTCATTCTTTGCGTTTAGTATTTTATGTAGAACCTATAAATTTGGTGATTCTTAAAGCAAAGCAAGTACAAATTCTATTCAAGGCTTACAGATTTTAAAATCTAAATGGCACTAGAAAAATAGGATATTCAATATTTCTCACATTTGCGAATGCTTCGTGTAACATAAAACTAATTCCTACTTACAGCAGCTGTCTTAAGCAAAAATCATGCTTCTGTGATAAAAAGTATGCTGTAAGTAAGAGCATTATTCTTTTGAGGCGCTTTGACAACTCAGCATTTACCATGAAAACTTAATTTTGAACTTCATGGCCAAAACTGAAACTTTTGTAACTTCACAGATAAAAGTAAAAAAAAAAAAAAAAAAGTCGTAATTTAATGCAACACGAAGGCTTGAAAACAAATAAATAATATTATCGTCCATTCGAATTGACGAGTCGAAAATAGCGATTATTTTCAACACATATTTTTTATACAATTAATGTTATTTCATTTATACACCAAAGATGAAAATTCTAAATGTTCTCTTCCATCACTTCTCTATTCCCTGAAGAAATGTAAATTCTGAAACTATAAATTTCATTCCCAGAGTTTATTTCATGGACATGTATGGCATTCAATAGTAACACATTTATTCACAATATCCTCAATTTCAAATTGTAAACGCTAATCACCTCCGTTTCGTCTTTTAGTATTAATCATAAAATGATTATGATGGCAGTTCCGAATGATAATTGGAAAGATTGCGATCCCATTAGTGTCTACCTGGACAAAGTAACTTCTAGAGTATTATTTTCCTGAATTAGTCCTAACTTAACAATAATTTTAAGTATAATAAATAAGATGGTTGAAGAAATAAAATGCAAAATAGGCGATGTATGAAATAAAATATTTAACTTAATAAATTAAATTAATTTTTTTACCAGTTTCTTAAGGAAAGAGGTTCCTTTGCCCAGAAGTTCATAGGAAAGCAATTTCCTCTGTACTATTTAATTGCACCGCAGAAGTTTTTTTATTACATACTGCTTTCAGGTGCGCATTAAGCGCTAAGTTTGGCTGCAGCATTATGCTGTTGACTATTACTGCTGCTGTTGGCTGTATTTGTGTTATTTTGGTTATTTTCTGCATTCCGCTGACTTGTCTTTTTACTTTTCATTCTCCTATTCTGGAACCAAATTTTGACTTGGCGTTCAGTGAGGTTCAAATTTCGAGCCAACTCCCACCTTTTTTGCTTCGAAACGTAGGCGTTGAAGAGGAACTCTTTTTCTAATTCAAGTGTCTGAAACTTTGAATATGGCTTCCGTTTCTTTCGCACAGTTACGGTTCCTGTCCATTCCAAAGGATTAGTTGTGGTCATCGGCTCACCTCCTAAGAAAGAAGAAAAAGAATATTTATAAATCTTCTTTTATATTTTGTAGTCTGTTTAAGCAAATTAATTTAGACAGTTTTTAAATGTGAATGAAATGCATTTAAAATGTATGAGTACACATACTCTGATTTATAATCCTATGAAAATTTACAACAAAAATCGTATAAATTACTGCACTGATCGTAATACGACATGACTTCACATATGAGACAGTAATGAAATTTGAAGGAATTTTATATCGAAACAAATCTTGCATATAAAATCACCTTACGGATCATGCATGAGATAAAGATATGTTCTTGTTGAAGGATGAGTAATAAATTATTTAAACATATATCATCATATTTTTGTTGTTCATATAACAAAGAGAAATTGCATAAGAAAAAACTGTAGGTAAACTTTAGATAGCTTTCATTTCATTTCATTTATTAGTCCCTATGTGCTCATAAATTTCATCTATAAAGTCACTTAAAATCAGGTAAATCGTTTTGAATCACCCTGTATATTTTAAATATTAGTTTTGCATAACAGACGCATACTTTTATTAGAAAGTAATCATAAAGGAAGAAATGTCGTCTTATATTCGACCTAATATAGTAATTTAATTTACAATTTGCAGACTCTTCAGACTCCGTACCATTAAATTTGGGTGTTAATTTGAAAGCGATAAACAGAAGAATGGCTAACCTTGCAACCCTGAGAACAGCCGTCGCTGTCACTTTTGTTTGATTCGGGCAAACAATTTTAAAACCCCACACCCCAGTTTTTTATTTTATTTATTATTATTTTTTTACATTTGCATAATTTGAAAGCAGTTAATTTACCAATGCCGTAATTGTAATTCGAGCTTCCCTTGAAATTTCTTTATCTAATGGAGCTTTCTAAATGATATGTTGCTGCAAGATAAAATACTGTAAAAGTGTTCGAACAAACGATTACCTTAATATTGCTTTCACGATAATTTCATAAACAGCCTGGACAGTTTAACAACAGCCTGGACAACCTTGTTTTTTATTGTGAAATTTAATTATTTCGAGAGTTTTCTTTTCATTAAGATCTACTAGAACATGCAAATTTAGGGTCATGATAACATTAATGTCTTTCTCCTTCTTAAATGATACACTACTAATGTAAGTACTGGCAGTTTCTTTCTTATACACATCTTCGATGTCAATAATGTCCTATCAGATTTTCAAATTCTCCGGAATTTTTCTTTAAACGGTATTCACATTTTCTGCTAGATTTGCTTTATACAATTTAGCAATTCTTTTGTATTTACGCTTTGAAAAAATTTATCATCCATCATATCATGTCCTAGATCTAGGTTATTCTGTAAATCCTACTCTATGTGTTCCGTTTATTTTCGTTCTCTATGTTTAGGGTTACTTTCTTCAAAGATAGCAAAAGCAATTTTAATATATGCATTTTATTCCTTAATCAGCGCTGATTCGAAATTTTTAATTGAATTTTTATTCCTAATTTGAAATGATAAAAATAGTCATTGGATATTACGTTTTACGAAGAAATAATGGCATAGCTCGACAAGTTTCGTAATAGTACATTGCAAACACAACACTCAACAGAATATCAGCAGAATTGAACCATTTACAGTAAAAATGACGGAAAAGTAATTTAGACTAATATCCTCAAAAAGAGTTTCAAATAAAAAAAGAGTAAAATGAAATAAAAAGATGAATTCAGCGTTACGTTTGAGATACGCAGCCATTAAAAAATATCGCCAGCTTTTGGAATTGGGCATGATATCGAAATCACCCCACTATATGATCTAGTTAAAATTGACTATAGAATTCTTTCACATTAATACAGAATATAACAAGTTTGACTGTGCACGTTTGGTATAAATTGATTGAAAAGTCACTTAAAATTGTTGAAATCCAAAAAAAAAAAAAAAAAGAAATTCGAAAGACACAAAGGCAAAAATGTGCTTCGATAGCAAAATGACATCAGTACATTCTAGTCTTAAGCGACTGAGTTTAGAAAACGTGAATTAAAACGTATTTCACGGCTGCAAGCATGACAAAAAGAAAACGTGGGCACTTCTAAGAATGCTCAGTAGAAGTAAATGAACAAGCTGTGCTTGAGAATGTAGCAAGAGTACAATCAGAGGGAAACATTCTTTTTTCTTTAAACTGAGCAAATAAAAATATTTAAGACCTAACAAGTAGGCCCCCGATTCTCTAACGAATCGAATAAGCGAACTTGTGAAATTAGCTACGGTATGAATTGCATGTGAATGAGAATGAAGGAGTTAAAAAGTAGCGAATAAATCCAACTTTAAACGTGTATTTACATTTTGAGACTTGGAGATAAGTAAACGAAAATTAAACGATAGTGATAAATTATTTAATCGTTTTTTTACAGCCTAATTCAAACTTTGCGCAACAAAGAGCTGTAAAGCTAATTAATTAACCGCCTAAACGGGAAAGTGGTTAGTGACTCTGGCTACCGTACTGAAGGGCTCGGGTTCGAATCCCGAAGAAGGCATGTATGTAATTTTTCCGTCTCTTCACTGACAGGCAATAGTGGCCCTTCTAATAGGTGCCTCTCATAATGAAGAGACCACTGCTTCCGGCCTTAGTAGCATAGGCCGATTCCTATGAGATGCCTTAGAGTTCAACATTAGAAGAAAAATTTAACAAAACAATTCAATTCATGAAATTAATCAAAACTCTGTATACTATGTTTTGTGTAAAAGCATTGCTAAACATTAATAAACTTTGATCAACTGAGAGCGCCTACGAAACATACATTTTTTTTTCCTCTTCGAATTTTTGAATGTAAGATATGGGAAATAGGTTTATGTAGATTTCGATTGAAAAAATATTTGATAACAGAAATGGATCTTAATCAATTAGCATACATTTAGAGTAAAATGCTAGCCAGATATTCCTTAACTGTTAGATAGATATAATATTGTTTAATAATCAATAATAATGCATTGAAATAAAAATTACCTAATGAACTTAAATTTGGATAATTGTTTTAAAATCAGTGTCGAGAGGATAAAATAAACGTCATTTATGAAACCAATGTTCAATTTGTTTCTTAATTTCGATCTGGAAACCGATCTATGAAAAATAATGAATCTATACCGAATTTTTATATTTTTATATAAATTTTGGTGCAACAAAGCTCTCAAATGCCTTTGCTTCTAATTACTCTCATATGTGCTTAAATCCAATTTTCATGAGACGAAAAGAATTTAATCTATTATTGGACGTTTTCTGTAATTATTCTCCTCCGTACTTCCTTCAGAATTAGGAATGTGATGAAGCACTCGAGAACTATTTTCCTATGGGGGGAGATGCCCTCTTGCAAAATTTTCATTTTCCCATTTCTGTAACAATTTATCTTTTTTGCAACAATGGCACTCGCCTAAGCAGTATGAAGCCTCTTAAATAGTGTGAAATAACATGTCTTTAAAAAGTTTATTTTCAAGCAAAATAATTTAATTTCTTCTGCTTAAACAAAATGTCTTAACGGATGAAAAATGACAGTGTGATTTAAATAACAGGGTATTTTGTTAAAGAAATCTTAACGAATGATTAATTTAAACTAAATAAATTAATTTTATTTTTCATATTAGCCATGCATGGAAAAGAAAAAAATAAAACTTATTAATTCATGTAAAAGAAGTGAGAGTAGAGCTTCTGCTGAGTGAAGAGTAAGTTACCAATATATTTGGAAAATAATTGAAATTCTGCCCTTAACTCATAAAACAGGATAATTCTATTTCCGTGATATTTGAAGATTAATAATACCTACACACTATAACGTTTTACTGATTTCAGTTGTGTAATTTATATTTATTTTTAGATCATAAGACAATTTTAAAGAATCCATCTTTCTTTCACTTGCTACTTGTCAGCAACAACACAATGTTCTCTGTGACAGAATATGCTTCAAAAAATTAATAATAATTTCTAATCGATCCTTTGGGAAGTGATGTGTAACTAGAATACTCAAGTTTAATTTACAGACAGCCCCTCAGAAAGCAATCCACTGCCGTAATGGGCAGTGAGGAGCTCTCTTTTGCCACTTCCTGCAATCCAGAAGAAACTGTTTATGATTTAAGACCGAAGGGGCTTTTGGAAATCGCCTCCAAATTGAAATCAGAAGTCACTAATAGCAGCAGTACATAATGTTGATCGCTACAGCTAACGCGATTAGTCTAATTACTGAACCTATGAACGGGCATGAATCGTTATTAGATACTTTCCACAAATGTGAGACCGAGGCTGAAGCCATAAGAAGAGGGAAATCGTGCCTTTTTAGTTAATAATTTCCTACTTTAACAAATTTGCGTGTTGTTACACGCGCTGGCAATAAAGATTTGTAACAATTTTCTCTCTAAATGAAAAAATGTTTCAAAAATGAAACTTCCAATAATTTTTTTTTTCTTTTATTGAGCAAACAATCATGAAATAATCTTATAATCGAGCACACAATTTTAAATTTGCATATTGTAACAGGGCACTCTTTCTTTCGAATTAACTTAAAACCAAAAATATACATGATTTAGACATCTTTATATTGTAATAAACTCGTAAAAGTCGCGATATTTAAAAATTGTAATAAAGCATAAAATGGAAAGAAAAACAATCTGTGATAACTGTAATTTTATGGATTTATATATAAATAACTGCTTAAGAAAAACGAAAAAATTCTGGGTCATATTTTTCTTTTAAATGAAATGAAATTATTGATCATTCCTATCAGTTTATTATTTATCGATATAACTGGAGTTAAGCTAATCAATCCTAAATTAACAGCCAAAAAGCAACGTTGAAATATAATCTTCAAGTTCGATGATATTAAAAAGCTTCAGACGGATTAAATAATTGCAACAGGAAAGTTTAGCTTGTTTTTTTTTGGGGGGGGAGGAACTCCATACTTCTAAATAGCTGATGTGGATGGCAATAAATACTTTCCAAGAAATAATAAATTAAATTACTTTTCTTTGTCGTATTGTTGGATT